ATTGTTCTTCACAATAAAAATGTCCAAAAATAAATAGAATTACAATGTTTTACTTGTGTATTTTATTTTGTTGTTGGTCCATTCCGAAAGAGCGCGAACTGGTCTTCCTGTCATTTCTTGACGCTTGACCAGTGACGTTCTGTGGCTAAGTTCCGTTTCTCCTCTCAGGCATCCCTTGACAGCCGTGTTCCGTGCCGACTGTTCGGAGTGCTCCGTCCGGCTGGTGTCGAGTGGCAGAGAGCCAGGTTATGAGTCCGCCACTACCATTTTGTATACGGCGCCATATATTATACCTAGAACGAAGCTCACCGATACGCGGTAATTTCATTGCAGATGCAGTAGAACCATGCTGCTCAGGAACTGGAGATATTTAGAACAGAACTATTCCACTATTCTGATCAGATAGAGTGGTGCAGAAAGAGTAGATCAGATAGAATAGTGCAGATAGAGTAGAACAGATGGAGTAGTGCAGTGCAGATAGAGTGATACAGGGCTGCGCTGTAGATTTTTTTCTGTTTTCTTTACATTCTTTGAACATTCCTGTGCCTGAGTTTATTTATTTGGTGGTACACTTTACAAGAAAAATGCCACAAGCTGCCTTGAAAGGGATGATGTAAAATCTTAATTTTAGGTGACTTTTGATCTAGAGAGTAAACATTAATATTCTTCAACCAAAGCCAAATTCACCATCGAAAAAAACTGAATTTAATTCAGCTAATAGATACATTAACACAACATTTAATAGGTATTTGATAATTCAGAGGCGGTACGAAGTTCGCCGGGTCAGCTAGTTTCTCATATATCCTAAACAAGTTTTTTTTGCTGATAAACCCCAAGATCCCAATGTTTTGACACCTAAAGGGTAGAAGATGAAGCGATCTAGCAAATTATCATATATTTGAACCTTTCTTTTTTCTGCTGCTTCAGCGGCAGAACCACCGGCTGATGACAATGTTACCTTGGCTAACACAATGTTACATCCCATATAAGCCATTTCTCCATGGACCATAAGTCATACCATCCGGCCATTTCCCATCAATACGTGAGCAACCAGGTGGTTCCAAAAACGATGGTATTCCTGTACTTCTCAAAGCCCTTAGCAGAACATTGTTTAACGAACGACTAAGACGACCCGCATTCATCTTTCCGCAGGAATTAACCTTGGTAACCCCACTCATCCACCCTGGCTCCACAATGACAATAGTGGGGTTCGCAAAGTTTTGTACCAAGTCGAAGGCTAACAGCAATATGGAAAGTGTCGTTGTCCCAGAGTGTTCCTAATGTAGCTGTTGGTAGAGCATATGAGAATGCCCCAGACTCAGCAGAACAACCAGTGAATAAACGTGCTTTTTGTAGAGAATTATCTTGACAACACACTTTCATAACGTTTCAACACCACAGGATGGTTCCAACTCTTTTGTAGCCCACGTTTAATAAATTTAGGTACATCAATATAGCGGCTTTATCTTTCCACGATTCTTACACTTCTGCTGATTACGAAACTACATTGAAAGGTGCTAAGTTTCTTGTTAGCCCGCTGAGAAGATCAGCCACGGAATGAACCGATGAAAAAAGGGCAGAAAAATACGACATCCTACGTTATCTTTCTTGTTTAAAAAAGAACGCGCCGTATGAACCATATACCTATAGCTTCAGCACAACTTTTGCTGCCGTATCCCAAAGAAGCGAAGTTTAGATCCAACTGAATATTGAACACGATTGCTGACAGCTGTTCCAGCAATTCTTCCAATAGTATTTCCGATTGTATAAAAGCGCAAATTGAAGCTTCATAGAGTAGGCTACGAATACCTGTCACAAACTTTCTGTCGGATCATCAAATCGACGACACCACCAATAGCGGATAACAAGTGCGCAGACGAGATGTTATTATTCGAAGTCAAGTCTATTATTATATCGGGTCTTCAAAAAAAAAACCAATCGAAGATTGCTTTGATTACGAAAACGTATTTCGCATTACTGTTTCTTTATTGGTCAGGATTTTTGACACGACATTTTGACATTAAAGTTCATTGACAAAATTAAAGAAAAATATTGCTAAGACATACGTTCAAAAAACCATAGCAATCTTAGATTGTTTTTTTTTTGAAGACCCGATATGTTGAGGTCGTAATACATCAAAAGCACCAGCAGAACCTGTTACAAATTAAACTGAATTTGTTACTTTAAGACAAGATAACCTAAAGTCTGTTTTTTTTTAAAGATAAAAGTCAAGATGACATGTTGGCAATACAATGTAAATTTGTCAATGCTTTCAAATTTTTTATGTAGAAAAGGCTTGTGTTGCCAACATAGTTACTAAATTTTTGACTTGGGGAATTATCTTTAAAAAAAAAACAGATTTTAGGGTCGTGGAAAATTAAGATAACGTGTAGTCCCTTCATGTGCAAATGAAACCACTCAAAATCCAATAACAAACAATAATTTTATTTGATATTTAACAATGTTATATGTAACAGAGAGTAACAGTAAGTGTTACTTTTTGACAGCTTGGTTTTTCCGGTGAATCTGATACCATGTACCTTTCCAATCCGGAGCTCTTCAATGGGTGTTGGGGTTTCAGTTTCGTGAACTGGAGCTCTTCGAGTTGTTTCCTGTATCCAGGAAGAGGATATATTGCTGGGGTGACGTCACTCCAGCTGATCCAGACTCCAAACAGTGATCTTTATGTCGAGTAGGTACCCAGAAAAGAATAAGGCAGTATCAGGTTCACCAATATTTTGAATATTAAATCCCTGAATTCTGTCAAAAATTGAAAACAATTAAATAATTAAGAATAATGGAAAGATAATAATAAAATTAAAATAATAACAAGATTAAATTAAAATGCGCGTTATGATTGAGCAAAAATGCTGCTTTCCTGACAGCAGCTCTGGCAGGCAAAAATATGAACAAAATAAGGTAGGTAAAACAATAAGAATTTAAATCTTTGGATTCTCCCCCAAATAGACAAAATTTTCCTTCCAAATTAAGGTAGCTACTATAGATACTACAAGATAAACCTGGGGTTGAAATTAATCAAATCCAGAATATGTCAAAATTCTTAAGATGTTCTAATTAAAACTCTTTACTGAATTTTTGACCTGTCTGGATTTCTATTAAAAAATTATACCCTTTAGTCGACATAATAATTGATGGAGTCAAACAGAAAATGGCTGTTCAGGCCTCCGCCTGGATTCAATAAAGAGTTGATAGGGATGGACACACAAATTTGGTTTTCACCGACTCTATTTAGAGCAAATGGTCCAATATTCCCACACTAACAATTGATTCTGAAAACCAGAGCAGCAGTACCTTTTTAAAATCCAAAAATCTGAATTGACTTACCTCAGATAAACGTGGCACTACCAATCGACACTCACAAAAAATGGAAGCCAACAATTAGATAAAAAAATTAAAATATAATATTTATATTTCAAGAACAGATAAGATTTATCAGGTAAAAACTTAATAATGATATGATAATATGCATTGATAGCAAAATCAAGAGATGGAACATGTTACGTAAATGATAAATTTATCGTAACAAACCATGTTTAAACGAATACATTGCACGACGAATCTCGTCATTATTGACAGAATTAGGAAACTCGACTATTGTCATAGCTAACGGGAAAGAAACATCATCTGGTTCAGCAGGTATGTATGTATTGCACATAGCTTTTCCAGTGTGAAAGTAGTGTTAGGTGCAATAGAGTCGTGAAAAGACAGAGCCCCTGTGATGTATTAGTATATGATTCTGCAGAAGACCGGAAAGCAGCATTGTCTGACATATTATGAGCACCATTGCTAAAATTACCAGAAGATAAACTGTCTAGAAACTTCTTCACCAAAACTGATAATGATTCCTTTCTTACTCTATCGTGCGGCTAACTAAACATCACAAGGAAAAAAAAAATGTGTACCAAGACTCGTCATTATTGATCTTGAGACAATTCTCCAGAATAACTACCAATGCTTCGGCTACTTGACGACGAACACTACACAAGACTAGTATAAATTATTATTATCTATTACTTTTTCCAATCATAGATTTTTTGTTTATAATTAATTTCCCACTTTTTCAAGTGTCGGTTTTCCTAAAAGATTATCCTTCGTATCAGCAACGAATATTTTGATCTTCTCTCTAATATCCCTGTTGTCTTTCACATTAATTTTAATTTGTCCTTTGGTATTAATCTTAAAATTTTCTCCAGAATCGATTAACGTTACAAATGTTTTGGAATATAATTTTTCCCAAGAATATTTATTAATTTCTTCTTAATCCAAAAATCTCTTTTTCAAATCTTCGTTTTATTTTCCAATATATTCAGCCTAATTGATTTGTTGATTCAATGCATCCAACTGTAAGGGTTCTGAAAGAGTTGTGTCCAAAATTTCAACCAAACGACCTCTTATTAATTAATTTTCTATAATTCCCGTTCATATACAATGTGGTTTATTCAACTTGAGACAGTCTAAACTTCCGAACACGGCGTGTTTTCGAGACAAAAAAGTTCAAATAAAATAAAAGTTATGTGGTGTTATGGGGGAAAGAAAATGATAGCAATGATGTTTTACTCAGTCAACTTTTATCTGAACTTATTTTTTTCAATGGCTTTGGAACATGTCTAATGCTGTTCCCTAAGGTCTGTATTCCTAAGGAATAGCCTTGAGAAATATTTCAATTAAATCAAAACGTCTGCAATTCAAAAAACAAAGGAATTTGTTACACCCTCGCCTATAGGTACCTGATAATGACAATATCCACAATGTTCAATTTCAGAAAGTCGAAAACTACCACACAAAATTAAAATAGTGATGTTTATAGAACCGTTTATACAAAAGTCACCATTATCATAATCAAAAGCGGAGTAGGTAATTATTATTATTAAACCTCCACTTCCTCATTGAGTAACTGCTAAGGACACCAGAAATTTTAGTTATCATCAACAAAATCCCAGCGCGAGGTTGGCTATTACTACAACTTTCCTCTTATATAGGTTGACAGATGATGGCAAAAAATGCATATGGGAATTGGAGGTTTACAGCTTCGGAACTAGAATGGACGCCGACTATACTTTAACTGGCCAAGTATTGGTTTTCCCTATAAATGGCCATGGAAGATGTAACGTCACTATGAGTATACTAATTTATTTATTTATAAAAAAAAAATACTAATCGCTTTTTTCCAGAGGGTATTACCAACAAACACACAGCAGAATGCGAGCACTACATGAAGAAAGGCAAATCGCACATGAGATTGAAAAACTACAAAATGAATATGTCAGTTGAAAAATGCTACTTTGATTTTCCAAATATTATTCCCGGTAACGAGCAAATTTCCAAGGAGGTTGGCAAAACTGTGAACGAAAATTCACAGGAAATTTTCCAGGACGTCAAAGGTGGTTTCGAGGAGGTTTTGGCTAGGCTGCACGAAAACGGTGCGAATAGTGTGTTCTCGAAAATACCGGAAGATGAACTGTTTTTGCCAGAATAGAATCGCAATAATATGCGATTTTATTTAGATTTTTAGTGTTCTTAATATGTCATTATGTTTTTGTTAAATTTTATTTGTAATTATACCCAGACAACAATAAATACCACAAGATTAACGTCGTATGTTCTATAATAGGGTGCAGATGTTGCTCATTTTCTCTTATTACTCTCATTACTCTAATTAGAACCTAAGATAAGTTTTCCAAAAAACGTAAAGAAGAGTAAATATCAGGTTGAAAGAAAACGCTGTCATTAGAAACTGCAATCAATGTAACAATGCATGGTTGGTTGGTTTAAGGCGGGGTCAAGCATGCCCGTGTCCCGATTTACACTGCAGCCTCTTATTCTACTACCCCCTGTCTTGTTTAAGCAAGTTCCAACCATTTGATGAGATTTAGCAGCTTGCTGGCAAGCATCTCATGGGAGACTCTCGCCGCATTGTATTCCTCCAAATAAATTATGTCTTCTGCGAGTCAGTGCTCCACAGTCGTATATTATGTATACCTATAGATTAGATTTCGTCATGCTACCCACCTGCGCTTCCTGCTCCCTAAATTTGGGTAACGATGATGCTGTAGAAGTCGAACACACATGGTTAAAAAAAAAATCGGGATTGTCTGTATCAGAAGCCAGAGCAATGGTTCTGCAAAAGCGAACCCTTATGCATTTTTGCCAAGAGTGCCGTGATGCTTTTAAGAGTGTACCAATTATGATCAGAAAAATGGTTAAGATGGAAGAAGAAATACTCACTCTTAAGCAGCAGGTTCTGACACTGGAGGAAGAAGAGGCAAAATCTTCTGATAGCAGTGTTCAAGCTATGCTATATGAAGTAAATCACTGAGCCCAAAACTCAGCTCATATACAATATTCCAGAATCCAACTCGTTGAATCTCGAAGAACGCATCAGCTATAACAAAACCAAAGTATCCGGAGTATTCGAGAACTTAGGTATACAAGGGGAATTTTCTTTGATCTAGAAAGCTTTAGATGTGGGAAAATTGAGAAGTAAGGAAGACCTGTGAAAGTGGTTTCTGGCTCAACTGATGCTGTCAAATTGGCAATCAAATCAGTTAATAAGCATATTGGGTCCACATACAAATTTCAAGGGATCAAACACCAATGCGGCAGGAGGCCTATAGAAAAGCAAAGACATCGCATTGCTGGATAGTAGAATGGCTGCAGGTGAAGATAACTTGATAATGAGATACCGCAATGGCCTACCTGTAGTAGAAACAAGAGAACAACAAAAAAACATGTAACTACCCCATTACAGGTCTATTTTGAAAATGTAGGTGGTCTGAGGACCAAACTTTCAGATCTTCTTAAAACTGTGGCTTGCTGCATGTATAATATTATTGTCTTAGCCGAGAGTAACCTAAATAATGAATTCTCAGGCAGAGAAATCAAATAATTCAGCATATTCAGAACTGACAGGGATACAATGACTAGCAGTAAATCCAGTGGGGGTGGCGTCTTAATATTTATCAACAACAAAATACGAGGTCAGTGTATCAGGATTACAAAAAACCGAGTTGAGAAATGTTTTGTAGAGTGTGAAATTAACCGAAGTAAATGTATAATAGGTGGTGTCTACATCCCTCCTCAATCTTCTCGGGAGAAGTACAACTGGCATTGTCGGTCAGTCGAACACATATGTCAAAAGTACCCAACAAAAAATTTGTATGTGTTCGGTGACTACAACAAGACTACAACCTACCCAGTGAAGTCTGGTCAAATGATGACTATGGCATGACTGTGCAATGTCCTAAAAAGCTGGATTTATAGTGTCAGTATCAGTAACAGTAGCAGTAACAGTAGCAGTAACAGTAAAATATTAAAACACGACCGACCGTAAAGCTATTTATAGTTCACTTAACAAACTTATCAGTAAAACTTAAGAAATGGATAATTTCATATCTGTTCTTAAGTTTTAAGTTTTAAGTTACTGTTACTGTTACTGCTACTGACACTATAAATCCAGCTGGCGGTGATATAGCTATAGACGTGGCCCAGTCTTTCAGTTACTTGAAATTATTTCAACATAATGCAATACCAAATGGAAGAAATGTTTTTTTAGTAGGTATTTTCAAATATAAGTATGTTGAATGTTACAAAGGCTAGTGACCCACTTATAAAGTCGTGTACCTATGCTATGAATGTACAATTTCAGTACCTATCTAAAAAGGTTGAACCAGATTGTTTCATTTATAATGAATTCTACTATGATTTCAGAAATAGGGATTTCAGGGAACTGAAAAATTATTTATCATCAATAAATTGGGATGACTGCATTGGTACCAATAACAGCATTAATGTGGATGTAGCAGCTGATATTTTTTAGGATCCACTGGCATCGCTTATTTTATTCCTCTCTAAAAGTACAAAACTTCTTTTCCCAAATGGTTTTCTGCCGATCTTCGTGATTTGACACTGCAGAAAAAGCAAGCTCACTCTATTTATATCAAAGACCAAAAGTGCTAATTATCTTAGATTTTCTCAGTTGCGTTCAGACTTCAAAAAACTTTCTGACATGTGCTTTCAAAATAAATATATCAGAGGTTTGGATTTAAATCTCAGAGATGACCCAAAATCTTTTTGAAGGTATACATATTAACGACAAAAGATCATGTCATAAATTGCAATTGCCCAGTACTTTGTCATATGGAAATCAGTCAGCATCTAATGGTCAAGAAATAGCTAACCTATTTAAAGAATTCTTTCTAACAGTTTACTTGAAAAATCAACATTTACAACACCTTACACCCGATATTCACGACAATAATATAACTAATAATATACAGTGCTCAGATCTCAAAGATTGACATCTTCAATGCAATCTCTGAACTTTCAAATAAACTAACTTCGGGTCCTGATGATATACCAGATTTTGTATTAAAACAATGTAATGTGACTGCTTTATTAATAGTAAGTGTGCTGCGTTTGCAGATGACGTTAAAGTGTGAAGTTTTACCCGCAAAGCTGAAAGATTTCCATCAGTCATATCAAAGATCAGTCATAAGAATGTGTTACATCTGTTAGGGAGTTAGGTGGCATATTAATATTTGATGAAAAGTTGACAATCGTGGACAACATCAATAATGTTTCTGTTAAGGGTGCTGCAATGTTGGGCTTTATAATGAGAAATTGCAAATAAAATCTGTTTTTTTTTTTAAAGATAATTCCCCAAGTCAAAAATTTAGTAACTATGTTGGCACAAAATAAACTGTTTTATTTGCAATCATATATGTAATCTTGTCATTACTGACTTTAAAAATTTGGAAGTGACACTTTACCTGTGTCACTTCCCTCTTCGATTTCCCTATTCGACTTCCCTCACCGATTTCCCTCACTCTAATTTATTTACCTTTGCTGGCAACAATGAGAACATGTCAGGTAAAAACGTCAAAGCAGTGAATGACATATTTTGGCATGTTTATTTTATTTTTTTAATATTAAAAAAATTGATTGACTTATCATAATTAATGGTGTGCTTGCAAATAAAATAGTATACAAACCTCGGAGGAAAGTTTTCATTTCTGTCTCGAGATTAATAGTCAATCTCGACGCTTCGCGTCTCGATTGACTATATAAATCTCTCGACAGTAATGAAACACTTCCCTACTCGGTATGTAATATACTATTACGTAGCTAAAAATGTGAAATACTATTATTTCATTTGCATCTGAATAAAATTAGTTAGTCTACTCTAAATTACTGTGTAAACGAATTGATATTGAAGATGTCGCCATCTACTTGTAAATATTTAATGTATGCCGTAAAGCCCAAAAGATGGCGCGCTGGCACTTATCTGACGCCCCTCTTAATATTATCATTGTATATATCAATATGACCTCTGACTCCCTATCGCATTTCTACCGCAAACCCTTGATTAACTGGTACCTACAGAAATCTCTATTTCTTTTCAAATTGTCATTTCCTGCTTCCGCAGCGCACAATAATTGGTGACAGCAATTTACTGATGTTTATCTATATCGAGATTCTGTATCGATTCGATCGATAGTGGTCGATAGTGATCGATTTATTTTGCTTATAAAACCCTAATTTAAATTAATGTGAATGTTATTAGAGAGTTATTGGACGTGCAATAAGGACAAGCAGTATTTAAATTAGCTTTATTTTGACATCTGCGCATGCGCATTTGGGTCCACAAATAAAGATTCTCTAATAAGGTTACTGCTTGTCTTTATTTGTGTATGGTTAGTGCGGGGCAGTAAATTTCCCTTATTTCAAATTTCTGACATTTTGGACGACTTTGACGTTTTGCTTTTCGACGATGACGTAATTTTAAATAGAAAATTTATTTTTTACAATAGTTTTCCATTTTACTGTGGGTTACATCAAAAAATAAGTATCAGCAGAAAATCACAAACAAAAATAAACACTTTTTGAGGCTGAAATTTCTAAACATAGCTATCATCTGTCAAAATTATGAATACAAAGTAAGGTAATACTCTAGCACCTACTACAGTCTTCCAATAACTGTTTTTTTCTTGGAAAAATAGTGCTGATGCACTAATAAAATAACGTAGATCCTTAATACTGCGAGGCAGTATTTATTAGTTCCAATAACTCTCTATTGTTTTATATTATTATTTTATTGATTGTTGTTGATAGCATTGAGGTTTATGTCGTCTACTTCTCTACCAGGTGTTTGGTTTAAATATACTCATCACTACTTTACCTAACTTCAGACAGCTCCTCTCTAATGTGATCTATTGACAGCTGATTGGGTTCAACCATGGTTTAACCATCTCTGGTTCAACCCTTTCAAATTGCTGAAGGTGACATTGGATTTTGGCATTTTCCTTTTACTCGCTTTCGAGGCTGGTTCGAGGTGATTTGAGTTTTGCATTTTTATTGAATTTCGCACCATTTTATGGGATTTTCGCCCTGATACCTAAATAATAATAATCGTGGTGTTTATTTGCCTAGTTTCAGTGCGTTTCGTTGCCTTTTGGTGCCACGATTACTCTGATAAATCAGGATTTTATGAGAAATTGGGTACAAACCGCCTGTACCACGATGTGCCGATGAAGCGGCGTATTTCATTAATGTGACGAGGAGCGGAAAGATTAATGATGGCCCCCAATTTCTCA